GAGAACTAGCTGGGAGAATCACCAGGTAGTAGTGGAGGGACCAGGTGTCCACTCAAATCGACCCTCTGAACAGCCCCTGCCAGAGAGGGTGGAGCCCCTGCCAAGGCTGAGGCTCTGGTTTGCGGGACGGGCCTGGACTGGGGCAAGTGCCAAAACGTTGTAAGATTCTATGCGGCTGGATGAGGGCGGGGTGGGACGGGGTGGGGTGGGGAAGACTAGGTATTTGATTGGTAGAGCTTGTCTACTTTACTAAAAGTTCATTGAAATACAACCTGAGGCAGATATATCAAAGGCGCTCTGGTGCTGCACGGTGGGTGCTAACTGCCACTCAGGTCTGGTCTGCTCCGTAGGAGTCAGTCTCAAAAAGTCACCGGAGCAGTGCTACCCCGCCCTACTGGGTCGCGGTGAGCTGACACCGACTGGGTGGCGGTGAGTGAAGGCATTCTGGGGGAGCAAGATGGGGCTGTCTCGTCCTGTAAAGATTTGCAATCTTGGGAACCTACCGGGGTGGCTCAGTCCTCAGGGCCCCTCTAAGTCCGAATGGACTCGGTGGCGATGTGTATTTTGTTTTGTGTTTAAAACACGCCTGAACATAATGACCTGTTGCTACTTTCAAAGTACAGATTTCGGCCCTCCGGCCTGGACTGACAGAATCTCAGCCTGGAAGTTCCGAGAATGTGTGAGCTCTCTTCGCCAGCAACGTTCTCCAAGGTGGCCCCAAGCGCAGCAACAGCACAATCTGGGAACGTGAAGCCCAAATTCAAAGAAACCAAACTTGTTGCCAACGAGTAACCACTATGCTGCCAAAGCTCCTTGGGTTTGCCCCAGCCTTGACAAATCGAGTCTGGAAGTCTGGGAGGGGGGCCCAGGGATCAGGTTTCACTGTGTCTGCCAGGTGATTCTGATGCCCTCCCAGGTGTGAGCCCTGCACTCCTGCAGGTGCTCCCAACCCTGACTGCACTTGAACTACCTGGAGAGCTTACGTAGCTTCAGATGCTCAGGACACACCCACACCCTGCCCCCTGACCAATTGGACCATTTGAATCAGACTCTGGGGCTGGGGGTCAGGCATTGGGATTATTAAAGGAACTTCAGGCAAGGTCAAGGAGCAGGTTGGGTGAAACCCGCTGGGTGATATTGCAAGTGTGAGTCACTAAGTCCTGTCACAAGTGTGAGCAAGAGAACCGCCCGCCCTCCAGGAGCTCACACCCCAATAAACGGGCCACAAAGTCGCCCCCCCCAATCTGTGCCTCCATTCATTCATTTATCTGTGCAGCATTGCCATTCACTGTGAGCCGCCCTGTGCTGGGTGCCGGGGACGTGGTGGAGACCTGAACCCCATCTTCACCTCTAGGCCGTGAGACAGGAGCCCGAGCCACTAGGCAAAATGACCAAAACGAGTGTGTCTCAAGCTCCACTGTGCTCGCCGGTTCTGATTCAGCAGGTCTGGGTGGGACCCGAGACTGCAATGCCAGTGCTGCTGAGCGGCACTTTGAGTGGCCAGGACGGACACCAGGGGTTCTCAGAGTGTGGCCCCAAGACAAGCAGCATCAGCACCACTCAGAGCCTTGTCATAAATGCAGATTCCCAGCCCCGGGCTCAGCTCTACGGTTTCAGAACCTCTGGGCTGGGTCCCAGTCATGTGTCTTAACAAGCCTTCCCCCGAGACGGATGTTATTCTGCTTACAGGTTAGAATCCATGTCATAGAGCCTGGATGGGCTAGGTGGGAGCTTCCAGAAATGGGAGACACGCTCCCTGGAGGGGACATTCCATGCAGAGGGCCCCACCCACACACCACCCAGGGCCATCTAGCTGATTCGGGCTCTGAATGGCCCTCCGGGACAGAGTGTCCCCAGATCTGGACATCTTCATGGGAGTCGACAGCCACATCTTTCTCCCGCAGAGGAAAGAAGTGGGCTGAACTGTTAGCCAATGCGTACGACGAGGGCCCAACCCTGGGGGCTGAGAAGAGCAGTCATGAGAATGTTGACACTGCTTGAAAAATACCAACACCGTCACCGATCACTCGGCCTAGACACTGTGGAAAGGAAGCAGGGTTTGCGAATATTTCCATTGACAGAGAGACAGAGGAGAGAAGAAGGCTCGGAGAGCTTCCCCTGGGGTCATGCAAACAGTTAACAGGCTTGGATGTTCACCTGAAAGTTGGGGGGGTCAAATCTATGCAGAGGGACCTTGGAAGAAAAGCCTGGCAATCTACTCCCCCAAAATGCAGCCATTGAAACCCCTCTAGAGCACAGTTCCTCTCCGTAGCACATGGAGTTGCCATGAGTTGGAATACACTCAACTGTCACTGGGGGTGGGGATGGAGGGGTGGGGGTGGAAGGCCAGGTGAAGAGGAACCTGCAGAAGCCGGCTGCCGTCGGTTGTAGCTAATTAAAGAGACGGTGGAGGCGCAGAAGGCCCACTTCGGGGCTGTGACTTTATCCTGGGTGTAGAGCATCCGCGGGGGGACTGCTTTGTCTGCGGCCCTGAATAATCCCTCTCTCTCCTCTCTGGCCTCACCGCCCTCCTTCCTGCCTACCAGCCACATGAGGTTCTCTCATTCAATGCCCTTCCCGAGAGGGGCTTTGGCATGTGCCGTCCCTCTACCTGAACATCCTTCCCTACCCCTGTCCTGCCACCTGCCAAAGCTCAGCCCAAAATGTCTGGTCTGGGGCAGGGCCCCTAATCTTCTCTCTCCCAACACTGCGGAGGGCCTTTCCCACCCTTCTAGGTCTACGGCTTTTATTCATGGATTTTAATAATGGCCTCCCCACTGTGAGCTCCAAGGACTGTGGGGTGGAGGTGGGGGGGCGGGAGGGTGGAGAGCAGAGACTTTGGTCGCCAGCGCTGAGCGTCGCTCCTGGTGCATAGCAGGTGCTCAAGCAACACCTCTGGGTGGAAAGAATCAAGAGACCACATGCCGTATGTCTTGGCTCTCATTTTAGCCTTTCTGTGGGAGCCTTTAGAACCCCCCTGCCCAGCTTACCTGGGGATAGAGGGCCCTCGGAGATGGGTGGGGTGGTGGTGGTCATAATCTGATGATAGTAGTCTGAGACCCAAATACAGGTGAGACACCCACCTGGGGCCAGATCAGAGTCAGGGTAGTGGGATGGGGATACCCCTAGGCTGAGACCCTAGCAGCTGGGTGCTGTGCCAAGATAGGGAGGGGTCATTGAGAGGTAGAAACCGCAGGAACAGCAGGGGGCACTCAGCCTGCCTGGGCAGCTCCAACCCAGAATGACCCCAGCGGGGTCCTTTGGTGTGGGGAGGAAGGGCTGGGATGGGTCTGCTGGCTGGCCATCCCTGGTCGGGAGACTGCCGCAAGGAACGCTAGGCACCCTAGGCATGGCAGGGAGGCGAGGCTGGGAGTATCTTCCACACCCCATTGGCCTGGCGGAGTTTCCCGGGAAGGTCCCTGACTCTGCCCATCTGTCCACTCTGGGGATAGCAGAGGCTGCTGAGGTTAGAAGTTTGGAGCCCACACGTCTGGCTGCCCAAAGGTGGGGAGGAAGTTCTTCCTACATGAAAATAAAAAGCCTCCTTTATGTCATTCCCACCCCCTCCCACCAACCTGCTCCCCTGCCCCCTTGGGGGACCGGTCTATACCTGCATGCCTCCCACCCCACCTACCTTCTTCCCTTTCTTGACTTCATATTCCATGGCGAACTGTCCCTTCTACTCCTGCCACCCCCCTCCCCAGGCCCCCCCTCCCTCCGCCCCACAGTTCCTTTGTTCTTTTTCCTGCCTGCTCGGAAACTCCACCAGGTCTCCAGGCTGGGAGTTCCTGCCCTCCCTGGCTGGCTGATATCAGAGCAGGCAGCGACTAGGGGTGAGGGGGATGGGGGTAGTGGCAGGGTAGAGGACACAGCCCAGGGACCCCATGGCTCAGGCTCAGGCAGAGCAGTGACCAGGGGCAACCTCCCCAAGGCCTCAGAGGCCTGGAGGCTGTCCTGTGGGGGCTTGGGGTTTGGGGTAGAGGCTGGGGAAGGGTCTTCCCAAGGAGGGCTGGGCATTCGGAGTCAGAAAATGTTCAGTTCCAACCATCCCTCTGTCAAGGGCTTCTTTGTGTGACCTTGACAGAGCAAGTCAATGGGCCTCTGAAAGCCTCAGTTTCCCCATCTATGAGATGGGCACGGTAGGCATTTGTCCTCAGAGCGATGCCATAAGGATTCCGTGCTCTGGGAGGAGGCCTGTGTATTCAGCGAACACGTACGTGTTGCTGAGCCTTGCAGTTGGGCCGCTGCCAGCTCAATAGGGACCCCACCTGTGCAGAGGAGGACTGTTCGGGGGGCTTCAAGGCAGAAACCTTTCAGAAGCAGACAGCAAGGCCCTTCTTCCAAGGTGCCCGTGGGTGGGTTTGAGCCACCAACCTTTCTTTGTTTTTGTTTTTTATTAAATACTTTTATTGGGGACTCGTACATCTCTTATCACCATCCGGCGTGTTAAGCACATTTGCACACATGCCGCCATCATCATTTTTGAAGCATTCTCTTCCCACTTGAGCCCATGATATCAGCTCCCATTTCTTCCCCCTCCCTCCCGCGACCTCCCTCCCCCGACCTCCCTCTCTCCTTCATGAAAGATACACTGAAAAAAAAAAAAAGAAAGATACACTGTAGATTATATTTTTCATATCTTACATCGTCCTCCATCGCCTCTCACCCAATTTCTCCTTATTCATCCCCCTGGGAGGGGGTTCTAGATTGATCCTTGTGATCAATTCCCCCTTTCTCCCCCCACCCTCCCCTAATCCTCCTGGTATCTCTACTCTCCTTGTTTGCCCGGAGGGGGTTGTCTATCCTGGATTGCCTTTGTTGCGGGCTCTTATCTGTAGCAGTGTGCATGCTCTGGTCTAATCCAATTTGTAAGGTAGAATTGAGGTCATGGTAGTGGCGGGGGAGGAAGCACCAAAGAACTAGAGGAAAGTTGTGTGTTTCATCGATGCTATACTGCACCCTGACTGGCTCATCTCTTCCCTGTGACTCCTCTGTGAAGGGATGTCCAATTGTCTACAGCTGGCTATTGGGTCTCTAAGCCATACCCGCGGCCCCCCCCCCACCATTCACTTTGGGTATGGCTTTGTTCTGGGTCTTAGATGCTTGCTACCTGGTCCCATCAAACCCTCATGGTCACACAGACTGGGGTGCTTCCTCCATGGAGCCACCAACCTTCCAAGTCATCACCCAGCACTTGACCATCTGTGCAGCCACGAACAGGACATCTCGAGGACTTGGTTAAATGTACTACTTAAGCACTCAAGGAGCTCTGGTGGTATAGGGGATTGCAAATTGTGCTGCTAACTGCAAGGTCAGCAGTTCGAAAACCACCAGCTGCTCCTGGGGAGAAAAACGAAGTTTTCTGCTCCCATAAAGATTCACAGCCTCAGAAATCCACAAGGGTACCTCTACTCTGTCTGATTTGAGTTGCAATGAGGCAGACTCAATGCATGGCAGTGAATATTTTTTTAATGGTTTATTGCATACTCCCTAAATAGGAGCCACTTACCTAGTCCTTGTCTAGGGATGCTGGCCTATCTTGTCATCTCTTGGGAGGCCAGGTCCCCTTTGTGGCTGGAAGCTCAGTCCTTTACCTCTTTCATCTCACTTGTTCCTCAGAAAGCTGGGCTATGACAGCTATCCCCATGCTGCAGCTTGTTTTAAGCCAGAGGGTCAGTTACAGAGCCTGCCCGAAGGAGAGTCACGCAGTGCCTGGGAGAGGGGTCTGAGAATTCTGGCTGGCCCAGATATAATTAAAGCCTAGTGCTGCCCACCTCTAGGGCCTATGCTCCCAGCCCCTGCTCTGGCCCAGACAGCCTGACTGGGGGGGTTGACCCATTTGACTCATGTGCACCTCCCACCTCCACCAGACTCCGGGCTTCTAGGTTCAAGCTCTGCTGTGAATTGCTGGCTTACGACAGACCTTCTGGACCTGCGTTTCTTGGTCTCTTCAATGGGATCAACAGCCCCCAAAGCCCTGCCCTCTTGCCAGAGGTGTGGACAGGAAGAGTCTAGGCCAGCGTGAGGAGGGGTGATGCAGTGTAAAGTGCCAGGGCTTTGGAAGTGTTTGGGGACGTTAGTGCACCAGTTTCCGCATTCCCCCGCTATTGCCTTTCCTGTGACCTAGACAGCAGAGACAGCCGCCCAGCCACCAGGGTCCACCATCCCCTCTCTGCTCTCCCCTCCTGCCAAGGGGAAATGAGCTCCCCTCCTCCTCCCCCTCCCGCCCCACCGACATCCTGCCGGTCACCACCACCTCCCAGCAGCTGGGAGGGAGCTCTCTCAGCCTGCTGGGCCAGCAGGAAGCGACCAGGATGTGTAGCCCAATTCCCTGACCCTGGCCCAGCCACCACTACTCCCACTTAACCCCGCTGAGCAAGTGCAGCGGGGCCTGAACCATGCTCTTGCTCTCCCTTTCCTGGGCCTCGGTTTGCTCATCTGTCAGATGGGAACTGCACATTGTCCTGTAGCAGCGGGTCTCCACCTTCCGAATGCCGAGACCTTTCATACCATTCCTCAGGTCGTGGTGACCCCCCAACCATACCATGATTTCCGTTGCTACTTTCATCATTGTCATTTTGCTACTGTTATGAATCGGGCGGCCCCTGTGAAAGGGTCGTTCGATCCCCAAAGGGGTCACGACCCACAGGCTGAGAACCGCTCAGAATCTGGCGGCATGCTGACACCACTCAACACTCAACAGCTGGTGATCTCAGACAGGACAACCCATGTGCCCAAGGCCATTAGACACAGGTCCTTCCCCGCAGGATCCACCTCAGGGCCAGGAACAAAGGAAGTGTTTAAGAAGCGGCCAGAGAAAGTGGCTGGCATCACATAGACTTAGGTTCAAATGTGTCCGCGGGTGGGGGTGAAGGGGGGTTCACATCGTAAGTAGGACCAGTCCATGATCTTTTCATTCCATTTGCCATGAACTCTTCAAAGTGTATGACCTTGAACCAACGACCTAACCTCTCCAAGCCTCAGAGACCTACTGTGTCAGCAACAGGGTAATGGTGGGGCTGCCTGGGGGGGCGCTGCGGCAGGGATTGAGTGGGGACAGAGTAGGCAGTGAAAACACTTACTATGAAAATTAGCTGTGATGTAAAACAAGAGCGAGAGAACAGTAAAACAAAGACCTTGCTTTCAAAGACTGAACCCTGGTGGCAGATTGGAGTCATCTCTTCTGAGTCACCTCCGGTTGGTTGGCAGGGGCTGCCTGGAGGGCCGTGAGGAGGTGTGGAAGACCTGTTCTACTGCCGGCAGGGAAAAGTGATTGCTTATCAATGCCAAGCCCAGGGCAGGAGCAGGGAATGGCAGCAGATGAGAGAAAGACATAGTCAGAGAGCGCTGACAGGCAACAAGCCACATACTTGTGTGGGGAAGGCAGACATAGGAGCTGCTCAGCCGGCTGAAGGCCTCCAAGGAGAGCCGTTCTAGGCAGAAGTAGCGGCTTGAAGAAGCCAACACCGGATGCAGGAGCTGTAATGCTTCGAACTGCAAGCAAGCCTGCCTAACAAAGATGCTTTAAACCATCAGGAAAATGTCTTCTTTTCCAAAACAAGAAGTCCACAGGGACGTGATCTCAGGGCCCTTTAATGGAGCCGTTGAACAAAGTCATTCAGCCCCTTACACGTCCCTGCTTCGCTGGCGAGGTGGCTGTGCAGACATGACGCCAGCCAGCAGGCCGAGGCCACGTGTTTCCTCTCCCTGGGTGTCTTTTTCTGTCTTGGATGAGAACCTTTCTCCAAGATTCCTTCAAAGACTTCTGTTCCAAACAAAACCAAACAGCCAATTCTGACTCCCAGTGACTCTATTATGGGGCAGGGTAGAGCTGAGTTACTGAGCTAGTGCAGTTACTGAGACTGTGAGGCTCTATGGGAGTACACAGCCTTGGGGTTAGCAGCCCGATCTGTAGCTCCCTAGATTTCCCTTAGGGACCAGATCTAGATCGACCAGGATATAGTCCCGCTGTCACAAAACATGGTAGAAGTTTCTCTCTCTTGTCGCCTAACAGTAGAGGCACAAACAGATGCGGGGCCCTGGCTCTTTCTGTCTCGTTTCTCTACCACCAGTCGCTCTAAGGGAGAAAGATGGGGCTTTCTATGTCCCTACAGAGTTACAGTCTCAGAAACCCACAGGGACAAGTCTATCCTGTCCTGTAGGGTCACACTGAGTTGGAATCAACTCGATGGCAGGGCAATTCAACTACTAGTTCTTAACTTGGGTGTGAATTGGAAGCAAAGGGAAAGCAGTTCAGTGGGGCTGGCGCAAGGCCCTTAGCATTTGCATTTCTAAAAACTTCCTAAGAACCACCATCTGAGGCCTGCCTGCAGGATGGAGTGACAGCAAGATGGCTGGGAGTCTTCAGAAGCAGAAGGGGGGCGGGCACTGTGGGGGGTGGTGGTAATGGGGGGGATGAGGCTCAAGAGATGTTTGTGGCTTAGTGTGTAGACAACATCAGGCAAAAATGAAGACCCTGGGGAGCCACGGCAGGGTGGGGTGGGGGGCTCTGGATGCAGCAATGTCATAAAGAGATTTGTGTTTCAGAAGGCATTTCTGGGCACAGATGTGGGGAGAAGGCATTGAGACACAGATCTTCAAAGCCCGGCATCTCTACATTTAAAGCAAGGACTCCCCCAAGTGCTTTTGAAGCACTTTGAAGTT